TCTCCAACCACTTGATGCTGGTATTATTAAAAACTTTAAAGTTTTTTACAAGAAGAAGATTGTCTCACATGCCCTTTCTCAAATTCAAAGCTCATCTTTAACAGCTACAGAAATCAATAAACAAGTAGATGTATTAACAGCAATCAGATGGATTAAACACTCGTGGGAACAAGTAAAAGAATCTACCATACAACACTGCTTTCGTCACTGTGGTTTTCATTATGTTCCAGTACCAGTAGGTGATCCCTTTTCTGATTTAGATGAGGATGACGATACTGCTGTACTCAATGAAATGATTCATGAGCTTCAGCCTGATGGCATGTCAGCAATAGATTATGTAAGTGCTGAAGAAGACGTCCCAACTTCTCAATCTTTTGAAGACAATGATAACTGGCGAGAAGAATTAAGAAGAATGGTTATTGATGACACAGAGACTGACCCTAAAGCGAGTTGTTTGGTAGAGGAAATCGATTCAGAAGAGGAGGATAGTGATACACCAGAACTGGCTATATCATCATTACAGGAGGCAATCAAAGTTGCCAATGATTTGATGCTTTATTTAACTGACAAGGGACATGAAGACTTGTCTGACAAAATGTACACTGTTATAAACTCCTTGCAGCGTATTAAAATAAGTGAATCTCGACAAACATCTATCATAAACTACTTTACATAATTCAGTTGTTGGTATACTTTATCGTTTAGTACACATTTTCTCATGCACTTCCCTTGAGAACTACATTTCCTCATTTATTATTATGTACTTATTTAGTATTTCAGTGTATACTCTGTATAACAACTTTACTTGTTGATACAGAATTATTTAAACTGTATATAAAGGCATCTCTATTAAAAGGCCACCTGCATAAGACAGCCACTAAATGTATGTCCCAAGGTGACCGTTTTAGACAGGTTTGACTGTATAATTAATTAATTAATTATAATAAAAATGTCACGAGTGAATTAATTCTGTCGCTACATGAAAGTGATAAACTAAAACTCATTCCCAAGATTGCTTATATACAAGTATTTGTAATGCACGGAGGGTTAAGAGAGGGGCATTGTTATTTTATATAAAATGGAGTGCAAAGTATTATGATATGATATAGATTTGATGATTAAGTTATTATAGATATTATTTTGGAGTATTCAGTCTGCCATCTCATTTATTTGAGCCAATTTTATTGAGCAATTTTTCATAAAGCCAAATTGAGTGTTAGAAATAGAAGACTAAGACATAAAATCAATATACCATATAAAAAAAGATCCTTTTAAAGATCATAGATGGATGTAAATATTATTTTCATTTAGTATTATTGACTTACAAAAAATGAAGCAGTTGCCTGTGTACTGCCAGGGATTCTCAACTATTCAGGTACCTTTTTGTCAGAACTGAAAGATTTAATGATGTGTTAGAGCAACTCGTTCAAGAAGAGAGCAATCCTTCCTTGATGAAGTCACAAATCAACAAGTTCCAGGTGCTAGACATCTTTGTCTGAAACTTGTTGTCTTTTTCTATAAAACCGTTTGATGCTTTAAGACAAAATACCGGAGCTAAAAAAACCCGAGGACCATAAGGAGACAAATTTTGGATAAAGCAGCAAACAATATTGCTAAAGTAGAAAAAAATTTTTACCAGTACTCCCAACAATTGGTGTTAGTATTATTATAGCATCCAATATGATTATTAGTTATGTCTTAGTGTCTTTAGTATCATGTATTAGATGCTTTGATGGCTAGGATAGCCAGCAATGCTTCAATGAAGGTGATACTTCAGCACACAGAGAGAGACTCAAAGTAGTGATTTATACTGGGGATTCCACTACAAGATAATGGCAAAACAACTTGTTAATTTCAATGTGACAACTGCCAAAAATGAATTGTGTTATATTGTGCTGGTATGGATCAATGGAAAAAACATCAGAAACTTTTGATTTCTGCAGGCTATAAAAATTATAATTTTCTTAAGTACAAACAATAGGAGGAGGAGGGTCGCAGCTTGATGCATTTATTCAGAGTTGACTCAATGGAACATGACCAAAGCTCAATCAATAAAGACAATGCACAGGATCTTTACTCATATCGTCAGGTAGATGTACTATGTTTTCTATATGTTTGGTAAAATTCAATGCTAAAATCGAGCCACAGGCCCCATCAAGTCTATCCTTACCATCACTTTTTCAGGGGGTAATGTTAAGCATTGCAAAAAAAGAGAGGAAATCTAG